AGCTTAACTGAAGAGGACCGCCAAGCATTATCGGCGCACATCAAAGAGGAAGTGGAGAAGGGAGTACAAGAAAAAATCAAGTTTACCGAAGAGAAGCGTCCCGCATCAGAGAGCGTGGACAAGCCCCCCGATGGAGGCGATCCCCGGCATGCTCGGCCGGCTGGAACAGCGTTAGACCCGCAACCTGAAGACCAGCCACGATCGTTGGAGGACCGTCTCGTTGAGTCCTTCGCGCGGGCAATGCGAAGGACCAACACCCCGGGGGAGGAAACCAGGGAAGTCTTACCCCCTAAGGACACCATCCGTGTCAGTCCTGTATGTAATACATGTAGCCCCATTTACGGGTGTGTTCGATTCTAGTGGCGATGTCCAGGTTAGAGTACAGGTTTTTGAGAGCCAATTTCGGATGTTGTATGGTCTTCGTCGATTTCGTTTGGGTGTGCTCCGATAAACCTACAGCACACCTTGTTGAGTTCTGCATACATACGCGTCATCATCTTGCACATGTTTTTCCTGAGAGGTACAGCAGTAGACCCCATCAAAGGGCGTTCTATTCTTGATAAGGTTGCCAGTGATCCACACAAAACTGCGAGGTTAAATGGATATTGAGTCACGTAAGGTTGCCAGTGACCCACACAAAACTGCGAGGTTAAATTGATATTGCGTCACGCAAGGTTGCCAGTCACCCACACAAAACTGCGAGGTTAAATGGATATTGCGTCACGTAAGGTTGCCAGTCACCCACAAAACTGCGAGGTTGTATGGCTACTACGCCACGTAAGGTTGCCAGTCACCCACAGAAACTGAAAGAATAGATGAGAGTGTCAGCGAATCCTAACCAAGCTGCTGCATATACCTTCTTGAGTGCTTTGAAGTTGATGGGAATATTTTGTCCCTCTTGTGTTAAAATGCAGAGATTGATCTCCGACTCATTATTTTTGCGTTCACGTCGATAACGGGATATGCGAAGGCGTCATGAATCTTTGTACCCTCTACCGACAATGAGTTGCGTGTTACGAACAGGAGTCTGTTGCATGTCTAGCGGTAGGAGTTGTAGGGGGATACACTTGGAAATTTGGTCAGGGGTCTGTGTAACCGACAGGAATACATGGAAATGATCTCCATTTCGTACCAGAACACTGTATGCACGAAAGCAGCGCAGTGGTTGCACACCAGTAAGAAGAAGATGTGTTGGGTTGTTGATCAGAAACACAGCTGTGTAAGCTCTACCATGGATCCAACATTGTTGTTTGCGTGACCGAGGAATAATTAACCTTGTCAGACAAATCGCAAGAATCGTTGTGTCACTTTTACGAAAGAGGAGTAATTAACCTCAGTCATAGATTGGCGTTCGATTTGATAGGTAACCATGATGTCGTACAGAATGCGAAAGACAACGATCACTGCTGCGCAGAACAGGGGGCGTATTGCAAGGTATTCTCCCCAGCAGTGCCACGTGCTAAATTGACGCTTTGGGTGACTGATTTTGCCTTTACCTTTCCCTTTCGGATGCGCCATCTCCCCTGCACTGCCGAGTCAATCCCTCCGGAGAGACAGCTGCACACACCCCAACCAGGCGGATACGTGGCACCTGATGAAGCCCGAGCCGCGGCGATGCCAGCAGAAAAGGGTGGCCGCGGCAGAGGCGAGGGTGGCTACCGCGGGGAAGAAGCAGTGGCAGGAGGGATGGATGAAAGCGCTGGGGTTGATGGGCCGGAAAAAAAAAAAATACTTCGTGTGACAAATGGTGTGACTTTTCTTATTTGGTGTTCTCATTGTTTTGGCTTTGGTTTGTGTTGCTTCGGCTTTGTGTTTGGTCTTTTTGAGTACGAGGTCGAGCCTGAACGAGTAGGATTTTATTTTCGAGGTTTTCACAGGATGTTTGGTTGTGAACAGCGATCACAACCTGAGGGAGCAGGTGGTAGAGGAGATTTTATTGTTGGAAAATTGGGATGCAGGGACTTTGAAGATCTCGCAGCAGACGTACGCTGAAGAGTTGGGGATGGAGTTTGGGGTAGAGTACGGGAAGGAAATTTCTCTTCCTGTAGGGTTGAAGCTTTCAGAGTTTGACCAAGATGAAGAAGTGGTATCAAGGCCTTTTCGTGAGCTGATAGGATCATTGATGTGGCTGGCAACGCAAACGAGGCCAGATATCGCGAACGCAGTGAGAGCGGTAGCACGGTAGTGTGCCTCTCCCAAAGAAATTCATTGGAGAGCAGGTCTTGGTATTTTGGGGTATGTGGTAAGGACTAGTGACTTGGCTATTACATTCAGGAGGGGTAGTGTAGCAGGGTTGAGCATGGAGGTGCTCGCAGACGCAGACTATGCAATAAGGCTGCCGATAGGAGGTCTGTGTCAGGAGGGTTGGTGATGTGTGGGGGGGGATGTATTTCTTGGTTTTCGAGGACGCAGAAGTGCGTTACGTTGAGCACGACAGAGGCGGAGTATGTCTCCCTTGCGGATGTGATGAAGGAAGTGTTGTTTCTGAGGCAAGTATGGCGTTTCATGTTGCCAGAAGCCGGTATGCCGTGTATTCCGGTGTTCGAGGATAACCAGGGGGCTATTCAGTTGGCACAGAACCCAATTAGCAACAGTAACTCGAAGCACATCGACGTAAGGCACCACTTTATCAGGGATTTGGTACGCAGGAAGGAGATTTCGATTTTTCACGTGGAATCGGCGTATCAACATGCTGACTTCCTCACGAAGGCACTTAACGTGGGAAATTTCGAGTTTCATCGTAACTTCGTAATGAGTATGGATTAATATTTTTATGTTTGGGTTTATTTTGTGTGCGATCAAACAACTAGGGTGGCAATATTTTGCATATTTGCCTATGGTTTTTCTCAATGGATGGTGTTCTAGGCTGGGGGGCAATTAGTTCGCTGAAGTTCGAAGAATTATAACTGGTATGATCGGGGAAGGGTATTGATGTCTAGCCAAGAAGGCTATTGTTCTGGAGTTGAATTGAGTTAATGATTTTATTTTCTTGTGTTTTGGAGTTATTGAGGATCGAAAAAGACATGGCATGGTCACAAGCAGGGGGGCTGATAGATATTCTTGTAGCAATGCCAAGTGGTTGTAGGATTGTGTGGTACGTGGAATGTATTTCCAGGGTGTGCAAGGTACCCCTGTTGTATACTGCGTCGCCCCCGTACTGATGGTGCGTGCGCGTGTGCGTGCAGTTCGTTCATGTGTTCATGTGAGTCCATGTCTGTTCATGTGTCCATGTGTTCATGTGTTCATGTGTTCATGTGACTCCATGTTTTTCATGTGAAGAAGAAGTCTATACAACAAACCCAGCGCATCTTTCCTCCTTGGCGCGAGTTCGCCGAGTTGCCGACACCCTATTCAACACACGTCTTGCGACAAGCTACCCCCAGTTCGGATCATCCTAACAAAAAAATAATTGATGTTCGTCACTCTTTTCTCCGTTCTCTCCATAAACGTGTTCGTTTCGTTTGGTACTAGTTGTGTGCACCACTCCTGCCGACAGCTAGGCCAGGCCGGAGCCAAACAGAAGACAAGAAACGGGACAAACCCGCGCGGAGATGGGGTCGCTACGAATATTGATGAGGACGTATGATTGATGTTTTGGTTTGTTTGTCGTTGGCAAGGCGCAATGCCGTCGCTCCGTAGAAGAAGCTGACGCCAACTTCGGCGCCCACCCGCGGTGACGTCATGTGACCAGCCGCGGATCGTGTGCCCTTAGCCAGTGCCACAAAGGCGGGGCTGGCTCGGCCGCCCTCTGTGCGGCTCTGTGGTGGCCGAAAACGCAACCCCCCCGAGTGGGATATAGGGTTGCTTAGAGGGTGTACCCTTGTGTGTGCATGGGTTAGTGAAGTATGTCTGGTTTGTTTTCGATTTTTCGCACAGCATCATCATGCGGTTCTACGAACAATTGGATGGTCTGGACGCTCTTTACCTTGGTCTTGATCCATGAACAGTTGTACCTTATTTCGATGCCTGACGGCATACTACGATAGAGCAATGTCGTGTCTTCAATTTCTGGTGACTTTCTTCTGCCTGTACTGGAGGTTCGGCACTATCTAGACGTTCCGCGCGCGCGCGATCCGAACGGCGGCGCTCAAGAGGAGAAACTTGGTCTCAGCGGGCAACGTGTGGGAGTTGCGTCGAGCAACACCATGGCTTCGTAAGGTCGTAGCAAAATCGCGCACCCACCTGGCGTTCGTCGTACTTAACAATGGTTAGAAGCACGCAGTGTGTGTGTGTTTAAGTTTGTGGGGACGCCCGTTGTTTCTTCGAGGAGAGGGTTGAAGATCGACGTGAGCCTGTCGCGCGATTTTTTCGAAGCTGGTGTTGTTGTTCTTGATGTTGTTTTGGAAGGAATGAAAATTGCCTGCAGTCGAGACTTTTTGAGCTGCACCTATACACACGTGTCTCAGGATAGTGTGGTGTCTGACTATCCTTTGCTCCCTATTCCGCCACGCAAGAGACCCTCCTCATGTACGGAGAGTCTGGGGTGGGGGGTGAGAGGAGATGGGATCAAGTCGAGAGGGTAACGTTTCAAACTGGCGGCAGCATTGAGATAATATCTTGTGTCGCTGTTGGTTTCGGCGTCCTTGTGTGGCTGTAGCTGCCCTGTTTGACATCGGAAAGGGGCACTACCCCTATGCAGGGCATGCCCTGAGAGTACATGAATTCCGTTGGCTTGGGGCTCGTTGCTGCGTTCCGTGCGTGTCTGAGTTTTCACGATTTGTTTGTATCAATTCCTCTCTTCGCTTGTACGTTGTGTGCGCAAGGGTTTGTGCGCCGAGCTTCGATGAAGTCGTTCGGCACATTATCCGTCGCCACCGTATAAATATGTAACTTTTCTAGACTGTGTGGACAAATGAAGTGTAGAATTACAGTGATGATCAAGAGTTACTAACAACGTCCATATTTATTTGTCGAAATATTTTTGTTGCCGTGTACCCTGGAAGGCGTGTTCGTCAGTTAGGCCGGTACGGAATTTAGAAGGTGCTGAGCGGAGACTGGAACTGTTTTATTATTGGAAGGCTGCAAACAAGACGAACACGTAAGCACTTGAACCTGACCTATGAAGTCTGTGGTTGGCTGTTCTGATAAACCACCAAAGCGAAAAGAAGGACTCCAGGGTTGGCGCGCAAACAAGTATGGGGTTCAAAGTGCAGGCATTCGATCATTAGTTCTGCTGTTGTCTTGATTTTCTTTCATCCTGGCTGGCGTGTCCTTGGTTGCTCGGCCGAGGATTCGATCAAGTAAACAGCCTTCCTGCCGGGCGCACAACAACTATCGGCAACAAGAAAGATCCACGGCCGATCTCATATTTGCAACTGCAATAATAACAACACTGGTTGCCGTGTTGGTGTCCCTGTTGTGCGAAATTACATCATCTACACGTTGAGGTATGCAAGTACGTGCTTTCACGACCGGCCGGGGTTAAGCGACATGCGGCCTTGCATGAGAGGATGCACACGACAGGCTGGCACACACTATTCACGGCGGCGGTGGAAACAATCGTTCGTCTGATGTTCGGCCGGGATCGTCTGTGGGTCGGTCGTGTGCATGGTGAAATTGCTGTCAAGTTGATTGTGGTCGTCGTGAGGACATCACACTAAACTACTTGCATATGTATCACACTACAGCAGTATGTATCTCCACCATAGGTACTTGGGCCACATTTCTTTTATGAGAGCACCAGTATATCTGCCTGCCCTCAAAGTGGGCAGAAGGATGGGGATTCGAAGTTCTGGGCACGGAAAAGAGAAAGGAAGCCAACGTACAGTAGAGCTACTACGCAGCAGTTACACGAAATATGAATCAGCATTGCATACGACAACACCGATACAGAAAAATGCAAGAAATATATATGTACACGTAGCGTACGTACAGCAGTCTCCCGCTAATGCATATGGTACAACACCTTCCTTACCCAGACCTAATTCTTTATAATAATGTTGGACACCTTCCAGAACTCTCAAGACTAAATTCTAATGTTTGATGTCATGGACGATGATTTGTCCACATGTGTGCCTGCGCCGTCGACGACACCTACATGTAGGGGGTATATGTGCTGCTCCTGTAGTACTGCTGTCTACAGCAGTATAACCGACGTAGAGCTTGTACGTGCGACACTGATCCTGGCTATAAAAGGTGGTATGCAAACGACTTGTGTGTGGGGGGTAGGGGAAGAACAATAGTCTTTAGATTTAGCGTGTTGACGCGACGTACATACAGGATCGCAGAGTACACAGCAGTAGTATACAGCAGTAGTTGCCCGCAACAAAAAAGACATGATGCTGTAAAAAGATTAAGATTCCTCTCTCCCAAAACAGGAGATAGGAGACGGATCATTCCGCGAATTTGCCAAAATACGGTACAGGTGCGGCACGGAACACGGTAAAAGAAGAGAACGACCCTCTCGTCCCTCGTTTAACAGCCGGATCCGATCCATTCAACGTTGCTCCCGCTCCTCCGCTCCCCCTCGCCCCGCGCTTTCGCTTGTGACGCTAGGAAAGCATGTCTGCCTTCGCGGAAGCTCCTGTGATGGAAGGTGGGGGTTGTCAGGCTCTCTCAGGGGAAGAGAGCGTAGAGGTTGGATGCGGCACATGTATCAGCATGTTCGATTTTTTTCCATACACGCAGAGGATTGCAAGAGGGTCCGTGGCCGGTTGCCCTCGAAGGCGAGCCTTTTTGCTGCGTGTCACCGACTTGTCTAGTCACGGCTCTCTCCCCGACGCTAGCTCTACGCTTCCCAGAGAGGGCGTTGTGTTGCGGGCTGCTGTTTTGATTGCTGGGCGGGGGGAGAGGCGCTGCCCGAGGTATACAAGGCAGGCGTCATGTTTAGCAAAAAGGTGCTGGGACCAGGTTTTGCAAATTCGGCCCCTCGTTGCATGTGTGCAACGCACGCACAGCCTAGCACCGCTGCAGGGGACGCCCACCGAGCCTCCCTTTGACCCTAGCATTGATCTATACCTTGGCTGTTGGCTGGGGGTCATGGGGGAATGCGCTTGTGTAAGGGTCGGTGGGGCGGGTGTACGGGCTGTACTGGAGTTGCTCATATGACCCTGTTTGAACATACATAAGTTGTGCGTACGTTTGACCACGCCATGCAAAGACCATCGGCTGCCGCGCTCCTGCAGAGAGCTCTGCCGACTCACCAGCCTCCGCACTAGAAACTAGGGATCATTGCCATCCTGGGTCGGCGCTGTAGGGTTGTGCGGGCTCGTTGGGGGCCCTCTGCGCTTCCAAAGTTGCTCAATAAGCTGGGGCTTGGTTGGTTGCGATCTCTCTCTCGCTTAGGGCACCAGCAACCACACCGCTTTTTCTCTCTTTTTGATACAATCCCCGCCCCTCCTCTCATTCTCAGACAAAAAAATGTTCAACTCATGGTGGAAAGCAGACACACAAGAAGACACACACGAACACACCTTCGGGGAAGTGGCACACACGCCCCCTACTTCAGCCATCACCGCCTAAATTCTTCCCAAAGGATTTATAGCCGAAGGATTTCATGCGACGACCCGTTCGACCCTCTGGAACCCTGGATTGATTGTATACAAGGCATATGGCGTGGCGAAAATATGGTCGAAATTGCAAAATGTGAAAAATCGGACGGCCGGGGGCAGCTGATGGGCACATGACTGCGGATAAATTTAGCTTTAAAGAGCATCATCACACACCCACGCATACACCCTCCGTCGCCAGTTGGTTCTATGTTGAATACGCGTTTGGATGCCGTAACTAGCAGTGCATTAGAAACGTTCGTCACACGGTATCAAGAGGGGGCGCGAAACCTTTTAGCACAGCAGTTGCTTTTTTTATTTTTTTTACGGTAGGTTTTTTGCTGTTAATAAAGTAGCGACCGAGTCTCGTTATCTGCAAGTCTGTATAGGGCACACCTACCTGCTGCTGCTGCTGCTGCTGCTGCTGCTGCTCGTGCTGCGACTGATGCTGATAGATACCGCCCCTCTTTTGTTATTTTGTGTACGGGACTACAGCAGGTGGTTTGTTCGCAAACCCTCCCCTGGTGTTGTGCTACTGCTGTATCGCGCCCATGCCCGTGTATCCATTCCACCTTTCTTTCTGACGCTATGAATTCATTGCTGATCTGTCTCAGACTCTTATGATAGAGATGGATTCGTTGTGTCATATTAAGAAAAATAAAATAGGTATATTATTCTCCAGCACCACGCCAGTCGTTCCCACTATTGTTCTTTCACCCACTAGTGGATATCAAGGTAGATACAGATTTACTTTTTTCGATAACCATGTTCCCAACGCACAGCCAAGACCTTCCAACTTTCATAAACAACTTTTGCTCTCCCCCCCCCCCCCTCGCCCGCCGCGCGTCCCTCCGCCCAACGACTGCAGGGGTAGCATCAGTTGTCGCTCCCGTTGCCGCCGTTGCCGCTCCCGTTAGCAGCACCGTTTTTGTGGGCAACCTGTCGTGGGGCACCACTAGCGAAGACCTCCGGACATTCATGGGGTCTCTCGGAGAGGTCGTGTCTGCCGAGGTGCAGAGCCACGCTGACTCGGGCCGCTCAAAGGGGTGGGGGTAAGTGTGTAGGTTTTATGTTTTTTTTTGTGCATCGACGGGGCGCGTTTTTTATTGTGATCATCGACGGCGCTAACCGGCTGACCAGTGAAAAGACGTCAGTCTCAGTGCGGTGGAAAACACAAAGTGCTTCTTTTTGGCCACGATCTGGGATCCTTTGACCGAGCGCCATGGGGGAGTCTACGCTACTCTCCGGATGAAAGACAGATACCGTAGCAATATCAGAAGAAACGGCACGTGGTTGCTATGCCTGCTACTACTTTGGATGAGCACGCGTTTTGGATTATGTGTGTGTTTCTGTGATTGCTTCGACCGCGCGCTGGCGGACTGATGAATCAAAAAGACGCCATTCTTGAAGAAGCGGGATAAAATACACGGAACACTTTCCTAGACAAGGGGTGAAAAGATGTGTGTGGTGATGTGTTTCTGTGCATGGGCTTGGACCGCACTGGGAGGTTGATCAAAGAACAGACACGCGCGTGTGTTTGCAGTTGGCACGAAGAGCATTGCAGTAGCCGTGGAAGAGACGCCAGTCTTGGCAAGGCAAAACAGAGTGCTTGGTATGCCACAGCAGTAGCGGAGGGCAGGCAGGTAGATAGACAGACGAGACAGAGCGAGAAAGAATGGAGGCGGAGAGAGAAACGAGTTCGCCAATTACAACCAGAGGGAAGTCTAACCCTACGTGCCAAGACTACAGCAATAGAACATCGATGCCGCCTGAGTACGCCCGCCGGTCTCCTTCTAAACGGTGCAACATACTCGATAGCGACAGTGTCGGGTGAAAACGAACCAAGTGTATGGCTACATTATACCAAACCATGAGCGTCCGGGCAGAAGCGGAGCGGTAGGGGGGGCTGTGCATCCTCAACACACCCCAACGTATGTACGTTCCCGAGGAAGAGACAGCGGGTTGGGCACCTACCGCTTCCGTGGCCAGCCCTTGCCCTCGGCCCTCCCCCGCTAAAACCGTGGGAGAACCACGAACCAACCGTCTTGAATCAACGGCTCTCGCGAAGGGGGATGAAGCACTCGAGGGGTTCGTCACCCCGTGTCCCCCACCTACTACCGTACAATTTCCGTTGTTTGTTTCTTTGGCGTGTCGCACGTAGAGCAACGTGGGCTGCAAGTACATGGCCGAAAGCTTTTGTCTGTGCATGCAAATCGATCGGCGTCGGGCGCTCGCGCGTAGCCTGCTGCGGCGCCAGCGTCGATTGGCCTGGCCGCCACTCCGAGTCTTGGGTATCCTCCGCGTGTGTACGTGCGTCGACCCCATCTATAGTACCCCGCGGTAGACAATGGGTTTTCCACACGCAGCGCCTTTTTCCCTTTTTTCTACATGGTGTGCCCGTTTTCATCTCCATGCCCCGTGTTCACCCGGTTACGTAGTCAGCGAAATTTTGTTCGAAATGCGAACAGGTGGTGGCAGTGGTTTACTGAAGCATGTTGCACTGGTGTTCGAAGACATGCGTCGACCACAGCGTTCTTTTTTGTGTTGTCTTTATTGACTCCGTAACCGGCGGACCGTTGCGTGCGTGTCAAGCCGTTTGTATGTACAACCTACAAGCCGTCGTAGCTTAGACTAGTAACAAAGCGTGGGGAGCTTGCCTTGTGGTTGTTGCTTCGAGTATGTTAGTTTTCTTTATGGAGTGGGGGTTGCTATTATATAATAGTATGTTGTCCACGGTTGTTACACTGATGTTCGTTGCTGTTTTTCGCTCAGATTGGTGACGTACGCCGACCCAGCGATCGCCGAGGCGGCCATTGAGCAGCTCAACAACGCCGACCTAGGGGGGCGGCCCATCCACATCCGACTCGACCGCAAAGAGGTGGAGGCTAGCGGTGGCTTCCCTGGTGAGTTTTTTTTTTTTTTCTTGGCGAGACATACCGCCCGTTCCGCTCCTCCCCCCGAGTTTTGAAAATGGGTGTGGGAGGCAGGTGGGTCGCGGCATTGGCCGTGCTTGCTCCCTCGGTTTGTAGCTGGTTTTTCCGTGGCGACACGTGCCGGGTATGAGAGGAGCGTCGATCTCAACAACCTCCACTGCGGCTGCTGCGGGTGTTTTGCCGAGGCTACAAGTACGCATGCGACAGGATGCCACTCGTTGTTCTCTTATCACCCCCCCCGCCCCCCCCCCCAGAAGCCGCCGCCGCCACCGAATTGCTGCCGTTGTTGGGAGTGTGTTTTTTATACCGACAGGATGCCACTCGTTGTTTTTTTTTCCCCTCCCCCCCCCCCCCGCTCAAATGCCGCCGACGCCGACGCCGACTTGCTGCCGCTGCACCGTCGAAAACCTAACCGCAGTGTTCGTGGGCAACCTCCCGTGGTCCACGACTGACGAGGATCTGCAGCAGATCTTCGCACCGTACGAGCCGTACGACTGCCACGTGAAGACCAACATGGCGGGCCGTAGTAGAGGCTTCGGCATCCTCAGGTAAAAAAAAAAAAGAAGAGGGAAAGACAGCTGTCGAGACGAGATACACAGCAGATACATAGCGCCGCGCTTGGTTGGAAAAAAAAAAGAGACTAGAGAGAGAGAGCGGTGGCAGTTAAAACGTGTTCGTGCTCAAGGTTGTATCAGAACGAAAGGAAGTTGAGCATCATGCGTTTTTGTGAGCCCCGTTAAGCATCCCCGACACTGAAACCTACATAGCGGCCATTTGTAGCATGACCCTAGGAATACGGTAATTATGGGTGTTGAAGTCTAGGACAAAGGTTCGTAGCGCGGTGGACGCGGCGGGCCTTTGCGCCGCTCCTTGTACGATCACGGGGCCCGCGCTCTAGTACATGAGTTGTTGGTTTGCGTACCTGCACAGATTCGGCCTTGTTTTTTTCCACACAAACACGGAGCAATTCTGCCTTCGAAAATGAATAGTCACTGCTTTATTTCGTCGTTCCACACGCTGAAGAAGAGGCTTGAAATCCTCTCAACATTTGCTGTCTCCTTCAATGCTTTCCACTAAATAGCGGGTTTGACTGGAAGTTTTTCTTTTTCTTGGCAATAGTGTGTGCCCAAGACGCGGAACATGCATCTCTGTTGTGTACGCTGTTAGGCTTTTCAGAAGACTATGATACGTCCACTTTTTTTTTTTTTTTGCTCGCTTGTGTAACAATCGAGTTCATGTGTGAAGTGCGATGACCCGTTTTGCGTGTTGCGTGGCTGCTGCACGTTTGTCTGTCTGTCCGTCTGCTGCTGCTACGTGAAGGTTTGCCACCCCGGAGCTAGGCCAGCGAGCCATCTCCGAGATGCAAAACTACCAGATCGACAGCCGTCCCATCCAGGTGCGGCGCTCTGTTGCTTTTTGCTGGTGCTTGGGCTGTGACCGTGGTGCTTTTCTGATGTTGGCCACTGGGAACGGGCAGTTTCTATGTCATTCCCGATGGGCGGATTTCCTGAACAAGTTTGGGGTGTAGCGTGTGTTGCCGGGTAGCACACATGCCTGTATATTTTCCGTGGTTGCGTGGGTTTGCTTTGAGATGTGAATAGCGTTTTTGGGAGGAGGGGTCCGAACGCGCACACCACTTGGAGCACACAAGCCAAAATGTTACCCTGGGGGGGGGGGGGGGGGGGAGTTTGCTTGAAAGTTCGAAATGTTTCTGTTTAGTTACGAGGGGGGGAGGCAATCATGAGCTAGAGCTTGTTATCTCTGTCGTGCACGTAGCCCCCCTCCCCCCCGTCCTACTTTCTCTCCACGATTCAACCAAGCTCCGACGCACGTCGGAGTAGGATTTGAACTATTAGCATGGTAGTCCGCGATTCGCTTGTGCAGTTTACGAGTGTCCGTGTCAGTGTCGACCGACCCGCGTGGCCTCCTTCGTGCATCAAACAAGGTGCGGTACGGCACGGTACGGCACGGTACGGCACGGTATGCGTGGAAGAGGCCCGACTTGGACGAGTAACGATACAGCATTCGCGATGCCCATCTTTTTTCGTTGATCAAACCACCCGCACCGTTGGATCGTCCTGTCTCTCTCTGTCTCTCTCTCTCTCTCTCTCTCTCTCTTTCTCTCTCTCTCTCTCTCTCTCTCTCTCTCTCTCTCTCTCTCTCTCTCTCTCTTGCTGTCTCTCCTGTCTGTCTGTGTATGTATGTCTCTCTCTCTCTCTTTCTCCCTCTGTTTCTCCCTCTCTCCCTCTCTCTCTCTCCCCCCCCCCTCTCTCAACCAAACAGGTCCGTGAGGACCGCGAGATCGGGGGCGGAGGGGAAGGCGGCGGAGGCGGCGGAGGCGGAGGCCGTCGCGGCCGCGGGAGCAGCGGCGGGGGAGGAGGAGGAGGGGGGGGAGGGGGAGGGGGCGACGGCGGAGGGGGGGGGGGGGGGGAACCCTGCCCCGGCTTTGGGGGGAAACCCCGGGGGGGGGAAAAGGAAGAAAAACTTTTTGGTAAGTTTCCGGGGAAGGGGGTTTGGGAAATTTATTGAAACCCCCGGGTATAACGGGGAAGGGGCCCGAAAAACAGGAGGGAAAAAACATTTTGGGGGGGGGGAGGGGGGG